CACAACCTGTAACTCTCGAAATGTTGAGATACAATTTGCATTTAGCTGGTTCACTGGCTGTCACAATTTCAAGCAAACTTCGTCAATGCACAGGAACCGTTGCCGCCTTTCTACCAAAACCAGAATCATCGGGCTACAGTGACAACCACGCTCCTTCGCGTCCTTGCCAATGCAGTAATGGACGACTCCGTGCTCATGGTACCCTGGTGGTGACGCGGACACGATCGCGGCCCCTTTACAGAGCCAGAGCACCGAGAGCCAACAGAGCAAGACCAGCGATGGAGTTGACGCCAGCGGCGTCAGCCTTGACAGTGTTTGAAGCAAGACTGGTGCCGTTGGACTTGCCGGCGTCGGTGGTCGAGGCGCTGCCGGTCTTAATGGGAGCATACGACGGCCCAGAAGAGCCCTTGCCGGCAGTCCTGCAGAGTGCTTGGGTGGCGGGGACTACCTTGTCTGTTCATCGGTTGGGTTAGGCATAATCATTGACGAATCGTTAAGACAAAGGACGTGACAAGGCCACAAACTCAGGGCAATGTCCCTGCCGCACTTCTCAAGAATGCAGCTGGTGGCATCGGACTGAATGGCCGAAACGTGCTGGCAGATGCAAGCGAAGTCGTCGGTGGAGCACTTGATGTCCTTGACGGCGTCGTCGAGGCAGTGCAGCGCGCACTCGGGAATGTCGCTACGACTCTGGGCGCTGACCATGGTGGCGAAGGCGACTGCCACGACGGTAGTGAACTCCATGACGATGGTATTAGCAGTCAGTATGTTTGGTTGGGTGGGGTATGACAGTGAGCGTTACTGCTGAGCAAGTATATGGGCAGAGACTGAAAGGGAGAATGGGAAAACCAGCGAGCGTGGGTGGCTCAGGTCAACGACGTCTACGTAGCTAGCCCCTGGATCCCACGGGAGGTTCCGATATACCCATGTACCTCCCGGGCCTTGGGGCCTTGGTTCTGTACTTCGTGCACCTGCCGCTGTGGCAGTTGAGACCCATGCGCGTCGGCCGTGCATGTTGCCGTGCTTCGCAAATGGGACACAGTGTAAGGGGCTGGACTGGAGTTTGTTCAACAAGCAGGTGCCTTCGTGTTGTCTATCTAAAGCTGAGGGGAAAAGGAGAAGAAATGGAAAGCTCGCAGCCCCAGGGCTGCGAGCTTGTACTCAGGGGTCCATCAAATTGCGAATAGCGAGCGACGAGGGTCCGGGGCTGCGGGGCAGGCGCAGCCCGATCCACATCACCGGCCCTGGCCCGTGACAGCTACCTTGTCAACAAGCCGCCGCAGTTCTCGAGCAGTAGGCTGGGCCAATGACTCTGTCGAGTCGCCACCCGTGTCTGAATGGTCTTCTACCTTCTCAGTTATCTGCGACAAGACGACTTCTGGGTCCAATGGCAGCAGGCCGGTCCGTTTCCACACACCCGCCACGTTCTCGGGAGTGAACGATGCCTCAAACGCGTTCCAAAATAAAGCCCGGAACTCGCGTTTCGATAGACCAACAAGGCCCTGCGTTTTTGCCGTCCACTGAATAAGCTGGTTTGTGTAAGCGGTTGAGAGGGGACTGAATAGCGACAGTCTAGGGGATGCAGCCGATGGGTGGAATGTGGGGGAAACACAGCAACAATGATCCGGTGTTGGTCTCACCACTCCAGGAAGTTGATATTAACATGGCTAGAGTGCCTATCGGTTATTAGAAGGCGATAATCGCGACCGTTTCGAGCTTTCGCATTGGTGAAACGGTCGAAAACACCAGTGAGCCACTCTTTGCCAAGTTCGTGATTGGTCCACCCTGTCTGTGAAGGGTTCTAATAGTGCAAATTACAGCTATGTAGTCCTCATGCGTTTTAAATTCGAGCTGAGGAAAGAAAGAGGAAAGAGAAAGGGAAGGACGGAAATCTACCAACAAATAGACCAAGCCGTTACCGGAGCAACAGCGCTTGGACCGACAAGGCGCTGCCTTGCCCAGCAGGGCGTAGCCCGTTACACCAAGGAAGAAAGCCAGTGTTGGGCTTTAGGTGTACTGTACGGCCTTCATCGTCGACCTCCCGCCGTCGGTGCGGGGAGGACCGAAGGTCGAGCCCTTCTCCTTCACACTCGGCATGAGGACGGAGCAGAATCCGTTTTCCGGGGAGCTAGCAGCCATGGCATGTGCCCTTCGGCGCCTGCCAGAGCTGCGGTACCGCAGCATTGCACTCTTGACGAGCAACAAAGCGGCCGCCCTCACACTCCGCAACCCTCGCCAGCAGTCCGGCCAAGAGTATGTTGGATGCATATATGACTCCATCGAAGCACTCAGACGCAACGGAAACATGGTGGCTGTCCTGTGGATACCCGCCAACGCTAAAAACAGGCTTCTACAGTGTGCCAAGGTACAGGCGCGCGATGCCACCAAGGAAGGCGCCAATCCGACGCTCAAATTCCCAAGAATGCGATCGACGACGCTCGGCCTGGCCCGATCGGTTCATTGCGTCGTTCGTGAAATACCAGATGATGTCGGAAGCTTCTCGAAGAAAGTTGACGCTGCACTTCCAGGCCAGCATACGTTGCGGCTGTATGACAGATTGTCATGGAGAGAGGCAAACGTACTGGCACAGCTCAGAACGGGCATATCGAGGCTAAATGGCTATCTCAACAACATCGCGGCAGCACCGTCGCAGCAATGCGCATGCGGATACGCCAAGGAGACGGTGGAGCATTTCCTCTTCCACTGCGCAAAATGGACAGAACAGCGCGCTGAAATCCTACGGAGCAGAGAGGCGCAAAGGGGTAATCTCTCTTTCTGCCTCGGAGGAAAGTCACTGTCGGACGACGCAACATGGACACCAAACATGACGGCAGTTCGAGCGACAATTCGATTTACGTTAGCCACAGGACGGCTTAACAACAAACGAGACTGACCAGGCCAAGACCACCACCCACCCTCCTTTTCTAACTTAACCCACAACTAGCGCCTCGTGCCATAAACAGCAGGCGCCGCTTCAGTCGCCGTAGATAGGACTCTGAACACTTGAAGAATAGCCTTCAAGTTTGCTTGCTAATAATACAATCCCACAAGACCCCGTAGTGCGACGATAATGCAGCCAGAAAGGCAGAAGCGCAAAGGAGAAATTGGACATAATTAACAGGGATGCTCAGGCAGCCAGGGAAGGACTGCCTAACAAGAATGTCAAATAAGCAGATAGTAGCCCTATTGGCCAAGCTGCCACCGGGCGTAATCAACTAGTGTGTGTACGGCCTTCAACGTAGAATGAGCAAATAGCGCGCCGTTATGGCCCTTTAGGGATAACCCCTCCGGGCGTAAATAAAGTACATTACATTACATTCCTTTTAATTTTGCCTCCGGAATGACACAGGCAAGGGGAACCAAGTGGGATTAGCTGACTGCAGATCAAAGGAACCCGAGAGTTTCTTCGCGCCATAGTTCTCAACCTTTACCTTGTCATTCTCGTTCGTGATATGAATCTGCTGCTTCGTGGAGGGCGAATTGTCGCTTTCCTGATAATTCTGTGGGCGAAGCATGATTCCAGACTGTGCACCCTGGAAGACCGTAACAGGCAGGTCATACGTGTCAGGCATGTGGTGCATGCCCAGGTTGAAGTACAGCACAATGTCCTCCTGGTCGAGAGACTCGCCGTCGAAGAACTTGTTGAAGTCAACAAGATTAGGTGTAATAGGGTGCGCAGAAACTGGCTCCGTGTCTTTGCGCCGGACTGCATACAGCTGGTGTGTCGCCCAGTTGACTTGGTTCGGGAACCGGGTCGAATTCTGAACCGTAAGATGGATGCTTGAGCCAGTTGAAGGGTAGATGCGGAAACCGGGATACTCGCCAAACTTGTTTGGCTTATCCTTGTTCACAACGGAGTACTGCGCGGCCGCATTCGGAGCCCAGTTGATCTTGCCCTGATCCTCGTTGGTGACGAAGCTTCGATCAGCCTTCATGGTGTTGACGACTTTGCCCTTCGACCACTCGTAAACCTGGGAGTGGGGTACGAACTGAGTCTTTGACAGACTGTTCTTGGTTCCATAGATATCGAGGTCGGCCTTGAAGTTTAGCACATGGTCGTGCATTGATCCTGAGAGCCCGTCGCGAATGCGGAACCCGTAGTTCCGAGGCTCAGTGCCATTGACAAAGTCCGACGCCTGGATATACCCAGAGGCCCTCACGAGCACCTGAATGGAGCCGTCGTGGGAGAACTCGTAAGTAGTCTGGTAGTCGTAGTTATCCACGGTACTGATACTGCGCACGAGAAAAGCAATGTTCTTTGTAGCATGGTAGTAGTCGTAACCCTGGTGACGGCTCAATGGGTAGTCCTTGGGGTATTCAAAAAGACAGAACGCATCCGCATAGGTTGCGTACGAGGGGCAGTCATATCCGGGAATAAGGTTGAAGTTTGTAAAACCAAGAGTAACATCCAGGTACGATGCGTTAGTCTGAGCCTCATCCGGTCCGGCATAGTGGGCGAGAGCCTCTTGCATCGCGAGCTCATAG